CATAATCTGAAAGGTTTTACTGCTTATTAATACCCCTGAGGCTTTATTTTGATTATATTTTAATAATATACACTGACAGACAAAAAATTCCACCCACTTGATTTTTTCATGTTTTCATCTAAAAATATTTCTTCTTTGGATTGGTCTATTGTTTTTAATGAATAAATAGGTAATCTTTTTGTTTGTTTTCGATTAGGAATGTTAATATAGAGGACAATAACCCTTAATTCTTAATTCAATGAAATGATTCCAATGTTTACTCTCTATGGAATCAAAATGTTTATTCAGTATCATTAGTTCTTAGTCTCCGGCTTTAAATTTTTTCAATATTAAGTTTAAAAATGCCTCTTAGTGCTGAGGATGTTGCGCGTGGTGTGGCACTTATTGATGATGGACGTTCCATTATGTATGCAGGTAATGCCATCGGCGTTCCATATGAAACTTTACGAGACACCGTCAGACGTTTTCGGGAAACTGGTTCTTAGAATAGAAGGCCCGGTTCTGGACGGCCTAGGCTAACAGAACCACGGGATGACCTGTTTTTGACTTTGAGAATTTTACGAAACCGGCACCTTACCGTTGTTCAAGCGATTCATCAGCTCGAAGAAGTTCGAGGTGTGCAAATTTCTGAACGTACCGCTCGGAAAAGATTAAATGAGTATGGATTAATGGCTTTTCGTCCAGTAAGAGGACCAGAGTTGACCAGAACTCACAGAGTAACACGGCTGGCTCTTGCTCGAGAACACAGCCATTGGACTATGGAAGAATGGAGTGCTGTACTTTTCACAGATGAGTCAAAATTCGATCTTCGATCTCCAGACGGGCGTGAAAGGGTGTGGAGAAGAAGAAACGAAAGATGTGTAGCCTGTAATTTTTCTCAGAGCCAACCTTTCCAACGTGGTTCCTTAATGGGTAACAAGTGGGTGGAACTTTTCGCCTGTCAGAGTAATAACATTTTTTTGTGTATCAAGTGCGCACCAATGATACAAACTCTTTTACATAATTGATATGTAAAATTATAATTGTGTAGTTTTAGGAAGCTTATAATTTTATGATTTGGCAAATGGGAGATTCATCAATGTTCTTAGAGATTTAAAGTTATAAAAAGTCACTTTATGAATTTTTACAATAAATCGACGACGTATTTGGTCAATTGTAGGTTTTAATTATTATTAATTTTGAATTTCTGGTCAAGTAACAAGCCTATATATAAATAATATGTCAGTGTTTATTTAACCTAGAAAGAGGAGGAGGTTAAATTTTTTGTGTTAGGTCCCTAAGGTGGTAAAGTGGGTGAGAAGCTCCTTCCACCTCACTCTACTGTTTTATGCAGTGCACTTTTAGTCTGGAGGTTTTAGTCACTGGAACAGAAAACATGACACCGCTTTTTACAAGCACTGTCTTATTCCACTTTTTCGAGTTAGTATATTATTATTATTATATAATATTTTGTTATTAATTGTAATATTTTTTATTATTTATATTATAACATGATTACTACTTGACGCCATCAGCAGAGCTATAAAGTTATACATATAGATATACAGTGTTACTTCCCGCAAGAGGACGCCATTGAGATGGAAATATTTTTCGTTTGAAATTAAAAACGCTGCAAATTATATTATCTAAAGTAATATTACCTTCTAGTTACAAAGGAAAATAAATAAAAGGTGATTACAATTATTGGACTAGACTTTTTTTTTTTAATCATTAGCAATAAGCTAAAAAAAATAGCATTACTTCAGAAACACTTTCAAAATTTAAAAAACAAACAAAGGATATAACATTTGGAGTAGAACATATCAATAGAAAAAAAAACAAAAACGGAGACCATATCTTTGCTCCTAATTGTCCGATTTCAAAGATTTATTTTTTGGTTTTTAGGAAATTTCGTAAACTTTTAAAAAACCATTATCCACAAAAAAGTGTATACTTTTTGAATTATCCGGAATTAAATTTTACCATCCCTTGTAACTTTTTTTCCAGCTTCTTTTCGTTGAAATATGTCATATAGGTAAATTTAAAGGGCGTAGAGAAAATGACTTTAGCGAAGTTTCATTGAAATCGCTACATTCGTTTAGGCGCTACAGTCTATAGCAATGCAGGTTTTTCGGCCGCCATTTTGAAAGTAAAAGGCGGATAATAATGTCAATAAAGGAGGATCATCCTTGGGTTACCTCTGATTTTATATCAAAAGTTGAAAAAAATCGGTCCAGTAGTTTCGAAGAAAATGCGCGGACGACGGACGGACAAAAAAATTTTTATTCGTTTTTCGAATTCTACGCATCCTGAAACGTGAAACCTCAAATTTTGAGAGGGGGTTAAGTTTTTTCATTTTTTGGTTGATCACAATGGTTGATTATTGAAAATAATAAACCAAAAAAATATTACAAAATTTCTAATAAAATTACAAACGTACACATCCAATAAAGAAATATACCATCCGCGTACCTACAGAAAAGAGAGCGAGGTAGCTCAGAGGATAAGCACTGACTTCAAAAGCTCAATGACCTGAGGTACGACTCCGGCTGATGGCAGGTAATTATTTATTCTGTTTCATTGGCCATGGATCGACCTTGGTGTCGGAAGACTATCCTGAGTCTTTTTTTTTTCCTCCTGGATCTCACAGCCTCTATAAAGTGGGTAATATTAATTAATTGAGAGAGAAAACCTGGTGGTTGAGCGTAGTCCCGAGCAGATCTCCTCTCTGTACAATCGTTAAATCCTTAAAACTGTACTTTCTTTCCAAGTACTGAACTCGAGACCCTTCATGGGTTGTAGTGGTAAAGTAACTTCGAAATTATTGTGCATAAATATTTAGGTCTCTTGAATATAAGCTTCCGAAACCTCGAGTTGGTTCGAGCTTGGCAAATCAGTTCGAAAACTATTTTGTCGAATGCGAGATTTTCTGGTTCAAGAGTCTTTAATTAGTAACTTTTATTTAGCTCGGCCATTATCATGTTGTTCGTTTTTTTTTTTTTTTGTAGATTTCATTTTTTTATGTGACAGCAACACTTAACCTTTATAACCAACTCACCTCTATAACAAACCCTTATTGCTAATCACAATATCATTTTAAAATTGCTTTAGTTTTTCTTTGATCGTTGATGTTCCTTTGTCGAAATAAATAGTTCAACAACATACAATTCCAGTTTTAAACGAAATATTAGTTGGAAATAAAAATTATATTTCTAGAAATAAATGCAAACACAGTAAACATAACATTAACATTATGTTAATGATCAGTGTGCTGTCCATTTATTCTATCCAATCTACAGAATCTTGACGAGGAGAAAATAAAATTGTTCTGTTATGAGAGGTGTCCGTTAGAGAAAATTTGTAGTAATGGAAAGTTCACTGTGAATTAGTAGAGAAAAAGAAACACTTTTACGATTTTCTGAAGTTTCAATGACTGAGCACTAATTTGGAAGATATTCTTTTCCTTCAGGTAGGAAATATAGTCAAATCCCTTCAACATTATTGGAAAAAATTATGAAAGAAAAGAAAATTTACTATCGAATAAATCAAAAATCATACATTTTTTTGTTGAATGTACCCATGATTATTTCAAATCTTACTAAATTCTTTAAATTTTTTTTGTTGAATTCGGACCATTAATAGCTGAGATACAGGTTATTGTAATTCGTGAATATTCTATTTTAAAACATTAATGAAGTTTTTTAATATTTTTTCTTTTTCTTCATCGATCACAATTGCTGAAAAAATAGGAAATGATTCCTTCATCTTATGATACGTTGAATTGTTGAATTTCCTTGTTATTTTGCCATATTTTGACTGACCAATATTGTTTGGGAATTTTTCGAACGGGCCAACTGGTATTATTTATTTATTTGGTTTTAATTTACTGTACGATGTTCAAGAACAGCGGTTAAACGCATCGTGTTCTAGTTACATTATTTTAAATCTGTATATGAAGTTTTTTTTTTCAAGATCTGGAACATGTTCTTCTATTTTTCATAATTTAAAGCTTGATAGTAGCTCCAAAAACAGCGAATTGAAGCGCTGACAGTTTTCTAGGATATGTTCATTGGTCAAGGCACTATTACAGCTGCTGGGTATTGGTGAATGATTCCTCAAGTAGGTGCCCAATGGATCACAGCCTAGTGTGTCCTATCATGAGTTGGATAATAATGGTTTGTTCTTGGTGGTTCACTTGAATCTGAGGTATCGGTCGGATGTTGTAATAAATTTTCTCATTTTGTCAGAGTTTGGAACCATATATTATATTGTACTACAGAAATCACACTGTACCGTGTTAATTTCAGGTACTAGTAGAATCTGCTTCTTTGGCACCAGTGTTTGCCAGATCATTATCATGTATTTAAATATGACTAGGAACCACAGGAATTAATTTTTTATATTTTTTAATTAAATGGAGTATGGAAATATAATGTGGTTATTCTGTAATTGAAAATTTTAAATGTGGTTGAGAGTCGAATATAAATATCGTGCTGAATTAGAGTTAATGATAGGTGTGGATGATAGGCGTAGATAGATGGATTAGATGGAAGAAAGCCTGAAGCGAATGAATGGTTTCAATGGGTAGCAGAACGGAAATTGATGATGTTTCAACTCATTTGTGTGAATAAAGCTTTAAACACTCTTATTTAACAAAAGTGATGACAATAGATATTTGAAATAAATGATATAAATAATAATAGTCCTTTTGAATTTCATAAAAAGCCCAATAGTCAAACATAACAATGTTTCCCACCAATTGCTGTTGTTAGGAAACAAGTTTCGTTTGCGGATTACAGAAAAAAGATTACTAAATTATAGGTGGTCTATGATTAAAGTGGAGTGATGTTGTATTACTGTTTCTGGATGTCGACCTCAACAAAAGATCCTAATCTTTCAGTAATCGGATACTAAATAAAAATATTTTCATAAAGCTTAAAAACGTTTCATTTTCAAAATGGAATTTATACACATATATCCACGTTGCACGATATGCTAACAGACTACTTGTTCTTTTTCAGCTATTCTGGGTGCTTCTGTGGTCAACCATCCTCGGCTTATTGGTCCAGAGGCTGTCGGCCAGGATAGGCACAGTGACCGGACAGCACATGGCGGAGATCTGTTACACTGAGTACCGGTTCGTTCCTAGGATATTCCTCTGGCTCATGCTGGAGATAGCCATCATCGGATCAGATATGCAGGAAGTCGTCGGCACTGCCATTGCTCTCTACCTTCTATCCAACGGCAAGTAAGTAAAATCTGGTAGTCCAATATTTTTTAAACTTCGATATAAAAACAAAAGTATAGGTTTCCAGTCATCAATTACTTATTGTTAATTTATCAGGATCCCGATTTGGGGTGGTGTCCTAATCACGGTTATTGATACCTTCACATTTCTATTCCTGGACAAATATGGACTGAGGAAGCTGGAACTTTTCTTCGCTATCCTTATTGCCATAATGGCTGTCACCTTTGGCTACGAGGTAAATTGCATAAATCATATTATTAAAAAAAAAATCACTTACCGTAAGAGGGGGTAACTTTGGGACTGGGTGGGTAACTTTGGGACAAGAGGTAAAATTTAGTTTTTAGTGATTCCGTGGTGGATACCCTGTGTTGGTTCAGTCAGCTTGTACTTCGCTACTACTTTGCTGCATACTACTCTTGAGGCACAAGCGAAAGTTTCATGAGAACAACAATTTTAATAAAAGCAATGGAAATAAATAAAACCTAATTGCACAACGAGTGTAGTGAATTAGGGTTCTCAAAATGCCGCAAGGTAGTATCGCCGTACATGCCAATACAATGCACGTTTTTTGCAGACTGAACACAGTGTACCCACCACGAGATTACAACAAACTAAATTTTATCCGCTGTCTCAAATTTACCCATCTAGTCCCAAAGTTACCCTATATTACGGCAATGCTTTAATGTTTATTTTATTGTGTATTTTTAGCTACAAGTTATCGAATGTTAATTTCTCCAAAAACAATTTATTGCAAAACATATATGACTCGAAAGAGGAATAATACACCAGAGCATTCAGACTACGAAAGGCAATAAGTACAATGTATATAGTTAAATCATGTAAATGTATATTGTAAATATTCATAAAGAGAAATAATAAAGAGAATAGGGTGCCACGATCAACGGTGGTCATACGTTCGAGAAAAAAAGGCACCATGGAGCGAAAGAAAAAAACTACGAAGATAAAAAAAACACGGACAAACAATTTGTCCTCTTAATGGTGGGGTTGTTTTTAGAATATCCTTCCAAAACTGGCAAAGAAATATCCGGAGATCCTGCAGAGAGCTATCTGGTAAATAAAATGAAATTTGATAAAATTTGTTACTGGGTGATTCGATTTCTATGAATGGATGTAGGCGGTCATTGACAGTATGGCTTCGATAATTTCATTATTAATAAGTTGAATATTCTATCAAAATGATGAATGGGGATTTGGGGCCTAATACTCAGGAGAAACTAATCATGAATTAATATATTTGTTCTGTTATAGAATTTACATTTCACATTGCTCGCAAAGACTATAGGAATTGCTTACTCAGCTCCCTGCTCAGCTTATATACACATGTCCCGAGTTAAACAAATACGCCTGAATTAATTCGGTTTCGTTTGAATCCCAATAATTACGGGTTTAGAATGGCAATAATCCTGCTATGGGTAATTTGGAATTAAACGATTAGCAAAGTAAATACGAGATCTCATTAGAGAATTTCGATATGTCAAAATATTTAAATAGTAGTGGGATGTTTTAGTAATAATTGTTTTCTGCTTATTTTACTCAAATTAGTTGACTTTTTTAAAGATTACGAGAACATTTTATTAAGTGTACGCTGTTTGAAGGTCGTCACTCAATATCGGCTCCATTCCTAGGTATGCAAGTCCCCTCGGCACTGGATTTGAACTCGTAAACTTAGGATTATCACAGGTTGCTCACGGCCACTTTTTAAGAGATCTCCAAGAGACAAAAGACAAAAAACGTGACAACACCCGACAATCAGTAAAATATTTATCCATGAAAGACCCCAGTTCGAAAATATTACATAAAGAATGTAAATCAGAATAATTATGAGAAATATTACAACATAACGAATGATGAATCTCTACTCTATCTAAAATGTTTAAGCAATATACAATTTCTATAGAGTTTAAATTATTACAAAATTTCTATGAAAATTTGGATTACAGGCAGAAAAAAAAACGAACGGAAAAATCATAGAACCGTATGAAATAAATCGTTCCCAGAAGGCATTTTACGAAATTTACTCAAATAAATCATGGATTTAGATTTATTACATCAAATCAAAGCGGGCAAATCTCTGTTATTACTAATACTAATACTAGAATTTCATCATATTAATTGTTGTTGCATATTTAATATTTAATAATTTTTATGATTCACCGGGCGTAATGATTAAAATTGAAATTTATAACTGGAAACAAAAATAAACGGTTGAAGATATTTAATTTTGTAACAAATTGTAACTAACAAATTTTTTTTTGTTTATTAATTAAATGTTTCGTGATTTCATTAATTAATATAATTATTTAAATTCCTATGTTTTTATATAAGTATTAGATGTTTGAATGTAAAACTCCTGCTCGGTTTGAAGATTGTATTTTATTTAATATGTTTTAATCTTTGCATTTAAAGAACGCATATTAAAATATTTCATGATTATTTCTTAATTTAATATTTTTTGGATTAATGCTAAGGGAATATAATACTTTAATTAATCAATTAATTAAATTTAATTAATTATATTACTGTTTTTTTTTTAACTCCTCTTGACTTATTGACGTAAATTAGTCATTAGTTCTCTAGCTGCTATGGGACTGTTCCAGGTGATAGCTGTTCGTTTCGTTTGGTTCTCTTATGCTCTTATAGATATTCGGGGGGAGGAGGAGGACTGTATGTGATTTTATTATAACTAATCCGGTTGTTTTTTAGAGGATAGGATTAATGGCCCTGTGCCCAACCTCCAATCTGGAGGACCAGGAGGTATGTTGTTGGAAGACACAGGAGTCGCAAACCTTCCTGTGAATCTCAGGGTGGGGTTCGAACCTTTTATTTATTTATTTTTTATTTGTTTTCGGGGAATTCCCCATACAAATAGAGTTGGTGACAACAATCAACAAATTAATATGAAAAACAATAACAACTTATATACAAAGTAAAATTCATTAGGATTCAGTGACGACATCCTCTCCTGATAACAACCAAGCATCTGACACTATGCATAAATGTAAACAATGAAATTTAATATACTACTCCATATAATACAATAATTAAATTAATACATCTGAATCTAGCGAGCAATAAAATGGCAAATAGTAATAAATATCACTAGTAATAAAGATAAATGCAGGCATAGTATACAATATATAATATATACACGTGTCAATAGTAAATAGCAAATGATACAATAAAACATTATATGCATATGAATATGTTTCATGCATGAATAATAAATACCACAAGCAGAATAGAGTAAATAAACTTCAAAGTTTTGGAAAAAATATATGTAATGTCATTATTCATTCAAAATGAAGGACCTCAATCTGCTACACTATCTCGTGTAATAAAACAGGTTCTTGAGGAAGACTTCATTGTCAGTTTTGAATAATTCCATATAATTCGCCCTGGTCATGTTAATGGAATGAGGTAGGAAGTGTTGGCGGAAGTGAGCATCTATCGGGCACCGAACAAAAATATGTAAAAGGTCCTGTAATTCTTTTAGGTTACAAAGCGTGAAAATTTCTTTTGGCTTGAAATAGTAATAAGTATTATTAAACGTTAATTTAACATTATAATTGCCAGATAACCTAATCTGTGTTTTCGTTTATAAGGCTCATGCTTATAACCGCACAGGGAGGTCCGGTTCCCCCATGCCAATTCATACGAAAGTTTAAAAAAAACAAACAAAAAAAAAATAATAAAAAAAATACATCTTTTATTAATTTTTTTGTAAAATCTCGGCTCGAAGCTTTAATGCGAACGGACTTTAAACTCGTAGCTTAAAATTTTTGATGGCTCCTTAACTCGCTCGACCACAGCGGCCACAATTATAATACTTATTACACAATTAAATAAATGGGGATTAAATTTTATTATATGGCTATAGAGTTAATATTTTAATCATACTATGTTACACCTTTTATTTTTAAGTCTCGATTTTTTTACTTAAAAAGGCGAAAACACTATTGGATGCTTGACAGTAGTAAGGCTCACGATCTGTATTTGATTCATATGTGGCTATAAATATTATTTAGCTATTTATAGTTATTCCAAACAATTATGTATATATACTTATTGATTTTTATGTTTTCAGTTTGCCATGCAGGAGCCCCTCTTCACATCGATCGCTTACGGTACCATTGTTCCACAATGTTCTAACTGCGACAGCGCCAAATTGCTACAAGCCGTTGGTATTATTGGATCATGCATCATGCCTCATAATTTATATCTTCACTCCGGTCTAGTCAAGGTGAGTACTCTAATAATAGTTTGACATGCTATTTTACTTTTATTTATTGAGATATATAACATTCCGTCACTTAGACAATTAAAAAAAAAACATCAACACATAAATACACCATTTAAATATCAGGCAAGGGAACTCCGAAGCAGGTTTTTCCCTACAACTATGGAAGGAAAAGCAGAATTCCAGGAGATCCCTGCTACTCATTCAACCGTATCACTGGCGCTAAAGCCAGTAGAGTTGAGCGCTTCAGCCAAATACACTCATGTCTTGCCACCGCCAGAACTCCAATAGATGCAAACTACAAAAGATCGCGGAGCCACTGCCGTACCAATCTTTTTGGAGGATTATAGGAATGGATGGTGCTCGATAGGGATTGTGCTAGAAGATATGAATGATACATAAAATTTGATTAATTTGTATGAGGCGTCTAGAACAAATGGGATTGGCTAAGGTCATGGTTTAGGATTTTGTTGATTAAATAGAACGAAGCATTATTCGAAGGCCTTTTTACTGAATGGATCGGATGCGTTTGATGCTAGAAACTTATACTGTTCCCCACAGTTCTTGTTCGAAGGTCCATATAGGTTTCAAGATTGTCTTGTAGATCAGTAATTTTTTTCAAAAGATAGTTTAGATTTTCTATTCAGTATCGTTGGTAAAGTAGCTGTATTTTAAGTATGGTATGAGGGTTCCATGTTAGTCGTCTGTCTAAGAGAAAGCCAAGAAACCGCAATGTGAATCTTAAAATCTAAAGACAAACAAAATTATAACGACCGGAATATAGTTTATTTTTAAATATCACTTTAATTTATTTTCGTATTTAGTATCATGTTATAACCTATGTGATAAGGTACTCTATTACGTTTTAAGAGGAACCTTAAGGTTATTAAATTATAAATTATTTATAAAATAAGACAACATTTTATTTACATTTTTCAGACCAGAAGCATCGACCGAACCAAGAACAGCAAAATATCTGAAGCTAATTTCTACTTCCTTATTGAGTCCGCGCTCGCACTAGCTTTATCCTTCTTCATCAACGTCTTCGTCATGTCAGTCTTCGCTGAAGGACTGTACCACAAGACCAACCAGGATGTCGTGAGTATTATTAGCTATTTTATAATTTCAACTTATAAAAATAAAATTATATATCTATTAATGTACCCAATTTATTTTACAGAAAGAGCTGTGCTTGAATAATTCGAATCCATATGCTGATCATTTTCCGGTAAGGAGGAATTTGATGATTAACTCTGTTTTACAAATTTTTCAATTAATTGTAAACAAATTAAAATTAATTGGTATTTTGATAACATATTGTCCATATTTTTAGTTACTCTAAAAATCTGAAATTGTTCTAAATTAATTTTATATTGCTGATGGTGATTATAATGTCAAACATCAGCTCTGTAATCTTAGAGAGAAAAATCTAAAGTCTGCCATCGATCAGCTTTCATTAGACACGATCTGATACACCTACTTGTTGGCCAACTTCAAGACAGGAAATATCAGACCTACTTTTCGTTACTAAAGGACTCAGGACAGTGCCGTATACAATAACTGCATGCTCTGATTTTTGTTCTGATCATTCTCTTCTAAGTTTGGTACTATATGACGAGCTTCTTACTGCATAAAAAAACAAAAAAAAACATCACTTATAGAAAGGATAATTGATTGGGAAGCATCAACTGCTTAAATCCGACGCTTTCAATCCCAATGTTTCTTAAGACCGAAAATGAACTCGAAAGAGCCTTGGAAAAGTTTAAAATCAACTAACAACAGGCTGTACGGTCATCATCTGTACCAAGGCCCAGCAGAAATATGTCTCTTTCAATCTATCTGCAGTACATTAGAAATTTGATCAGGGCAAAGAGAAGAGCTCACAAAGTGTGGCAGAATGATCGACTTCCATCTGACAAACGGACTTTCAATAGACTTACCAATGAACTCAAACAGCATATCCAGAATTTCTAACGAACGAATTACGACAATTACCTCAAAAATCTTTCGACTGACGATGGAAGCTTATCGAGGCAGTCAATATGTTAAAACTTTAATTTTCAGAACAACACCGAGTCTATCAACATCCACATCTACGAGAGCGGTCTGTTCTTGGGGTGCAAGTTCGGTATGGCCGCACTGTACATTTGGGCTATTGGCATCCTAGCCGCTGGACAGAGCAGTACAATGACTGGATGTTACGCTGGGCAGTTTGTCATGGAGGTGAGGGAGGCTACAAAAATATTAGTTTATTAAAAATATGATTATATGCCATTATTTTGATTATAATATAAATAACACACCGATTGAGCTACCGGATTGAGTTTGAAATTGATCCATAAATTTGAAAAACTGGTCCAAGTTAATTAATTAATTTCTCTAATTAAAATTATTCTGTTTCTTATTAAATGATAACTGTTTTATCGTCGGTTTATTTCAGAAAGTCATTAAGTGCGTGTTTGATGGAACTAAACTTTTAAGAACGTTTTGGGAATTTCGACCTTATTTATCCATAAAAATGCATCGTATGTTCACTATAATGACACAAAACTCTTATATATCAAATATAATTACTAAAAGTGCACGAATTTCGAATTTCACAAAAGAAAAAGTTCTTGGTGGTTTAAGGTTTTGAAATGTCACTTAATGAATCTCTGTTTTACAAGATAGCAGTTTTTAAAAGAATTTCACATAGCTCTCAGAATATCTTGATTTTGTTTTTAATAAAAATTAGAATTTAACTTAAGACATTTCAGAGAAGGAGTTGGTCGGGAGTGCGGTAAAATTAAATACTATATGTTATAATAGTATTTATTAGTTATGCCGTCGTTTAGACCCACTTTAATTTCTTTATCAGAAAACTGGTATTTGTTAAATACCTACTATTAATTCATTTATTTTATTTTGTACCCATTTGTATTTTGTATTTTTGTAGCCCTGATGAAGACCTACAAAGTGGTTCAAAATATCGGCGTAACCAATAAATACTTCTATAATGTATAGTATTTGATTTTACAGCTATCCGGACCAACTTCTTCTCATAATTATAACCACAATCATCCATCTATTTACAATTAGAACATTAAAAATTATACGAGGAAAATTTTAGATTAATAAAACTTAAGACCAATTGGTTACCTTGACGTTCGTTTATTTTTGAGACCACTGAAGCAGGCTATGATATCACAGTTTAGAACTTCTTCAGTGTTTAAGTGGTTACTAAATTTAAATTATGCCACATTTCCTAAATATTAAAAGCCGATTTGAATCAAATGCCAACTATTTATTCAAACATGTTTTAGATTGGAGAGAGCCACATACCATCATTGTTAACATAATGTTTATCATACGCAAAATAATTAATAGATATAAATTATAATTTATAATATAATTAATAAATAGAGAAATAAAAAAAAACGCCTATAGAGAAATACTAAGATGACCACCATCATACTCCGCAGGGTTTCCTCAACCTCACCTGGGTAAGGTGGAAGAGGGTACTCTTTACCAGATCCATCGCCGTGGTTCCATCCTTCTTGGTGGCCTACAACACCGACATGGGCAAGTTTTCTGACATGAATGACTTACTCAACGCACTAATGTCAATCCAGTTACCATTCGCCGTACTTCCCGCCATTGCTTTCTCAAGTAATATGAGGATAATGGGAGAGTTCTCAAACGGAGTGTAAGTATTTTTTTCTAATTTTAATACGTAATATGATTATTTTACTTTCTCGCAACATATTCTGTTCATTAAAACTGTCAGAAAATTACAGGCTGAACAATTTTAATGTTGAGGTACCAACCTCATACTCACAAAACATACATTATACTGATACAACTCTTTTACTCACATCATTTTTACCCAAACGCTAATGGAACAACTGAACAATCAGCGACACGATCGTTGATGAATAAAGGAACGTGCTGATCACCCGAAGTAACCACACTATATCAAAAGATGATATTGAAGTCATCTGAGTATAGTATGGTAAGGTAGACTTGCATCTAATGTATTTAAACTAAATGGCCTGCACTGCTTTTGACGAATTAAGAGCCACGTTGATGAGAATCACGAGAATTTGCGTGAGGAGTTTCCTCACATGGTGAGTGAGGAAAACTTCCCGTGGTTCAAAGGCTTCATAAATGGCTGTAAGAGGGCGGTAGTTACATCTCACTTCAACCTAGAGGCCTGCAGAAGGAAAAGAGGGTCAGTGCCGGGAAGACCTCCGGATTCCGGAAGCCAAGCCTAATTGAAGAATGGAGGAAAAGTAAAAGAGCTGTGAATTTTGTAAAACTGTTATAATTGCAGTAGTAGTTATTATCCATTAACATCATACTATTACATTAACATTACACGTATTGTTATCCTAGTGGCATGGGGAAATTGGAAATAAATAAATTTAAACTATACGGTTTAAGGTAACATGCTTTGTAAATAACCAACTGAAAATATGATTAATCTTATTTAAAAAACAAATTCAAATAATAGAGAAGTAAATCTGCGACTTTGTTGGTTTGTATTTGAAAGTCTGCAGTTGGTTTGTTTTATTCTGTAGGCGTTCTCGTTATTGAGGAGGGCCGAAGGTAAAGGGGCTCTTTATCTAGTTTTAGTTGAACTCTTATTGCTAACTTCCTCCTACCCTCCTAAGTTCACCCCCAACTCCGGAGTTCGCCCTCATTAATCCGGCTCGATGAAATTGGAATTTCCTCTTTGATAAAGCAGGGCAATGAAGAACTTCATCCAGAATCAGGAAGTTAATTCGCAAAACTTATTAGATGCTGTCTGTAAATTATACATTTGAATGCAACAAACATTCGAAATAATGCAGAATGCTAGACAATTATAAATTTTTGTTGTAGCTATCCAGAAATATCTGTTATCTGCTTTGTCCTGTCTGCTCTATTCGCTGTCCTCAAGAATTTGTAGCATTTTCTGATTAATCGCAGGTAATATCTCCTGCTATCATAAGGTGTTATCCATTAAAGCTTAGCTTGTTTACTTTTATAACGTTTACATATAAATATCGCATACAAAAAATAAAAAAAATTGTTTATATTCTGGACATTTCATTTCTTTCTATTTCTCCTCCAAGTTTAGCTACAGTTCAAATATATTCACTTATTAGTAAATCTATGAGACTATAATAAATTGTTGTATATATCTATCTATTTAGTGTAAGATGGAGTAACTTTGGGACTGGGCGTGAAACTTTGGGACAGCGGGTAAAATTTAGTTCGTGGTGATTCCGTGTCGGTCCAGTCTGTTAAAAACGTGCTTCGTGTAAGACATGTACTGCACTACTACCTTGCGGCAGTTTGAGAACTCTAGTTCACTACACTCGTTGTGTAATGCTACGTATCAAATTGGTTTTTTGAGTAGATTTTTATAACGGGATGCCACTGGATAACTATTGAGGATAATTATCCAGAATTAATTAATAAAATGTTAGTTAAACAATTTATGTCATTTGACATATTGGTCCTTGATTACTTTATTGGATTACTTCTCACAAAGGCTTGTTGTGTGTTTATCTGTTCTCCAATTACCAAACATTACCTGTGCTTATAATGAAAGAAATAGGTGGCATGATTAAAATAACTTCTATGTACAAATTATATTTATTTACAAGTGATATGAGAAAGAATATTATATACATTATATTTACAAAAATTAATGAACTATACAATTGGTTGTGAAGGCATGATTCAGATGGATGGAATTTAAAATTACATTGCCATTAAATATTTATACATCTTTAAACGAATTATTGGAAATTACTTATCTAATATATATTGGAAGTGGTGGATGGGCATGGCTGCATCTGCGAAGAAAACATCCTCTAGCTAGAAGAAAACATCAGGGATCTCCTCAGGGCCGGGCAGCTACATCAGGCCTCTCTTCTATCAGCCTCTCCTCATCCAGCTGTCCTCAGCTGCGTCCCAAAAAGAAGAGTCCTCAGCCGAGTCCCAAGAAGAAGTGTCTTCGTCCAAGTTCTATATTTTCCACCTTTTTTCATCCCCTCTCTTTTGGTAGGGGCAAGAATTGTTCCCATTGGTTCAATTTTTGTAGCAGAAGGGATGACCACACCCCCAGCGATATGTTGAACTAATATTTACCCTTTTAGCAGGTACACGACCGTTTCTTCCTATGCTTAAGAGTTAAAAGCTTTTTAATCCTCTTTAAATGGTCCTTTGGTGTTTTTGGCCGACATGTGTCGTCAAGTACTTATATTGCTAGTGGGTGTGCTAAGACTATTTTCAAGAGTGCTAAAAGGTTACCTCAGGGGATTATCAGGTATCCCGACCACTATCTCAGTAACCACTTACAAAAGGTTGGGTCGGGGGTTTCAGGTACCCGCCCAGGTGTTAGAAATTATTTTTAAATGTTATTAATTATCATTAGGCTATGTTCAATACATAGCAGTAAATAGGTTTTATTTATTCCCAATGGTTTTTTTTTTTTATAATTCTTGTTCTCATGAAACTTTCGCTTGTGCCTCAAGAGTAGTATGCAGCAAGGTAGTACAAGCTGACTGAACCAACACTGTTTATCCACCACGGAATTACCACAAACTATATTTTACCTTCTGTCCCAAAGGTTATATTTTACCCAGTCACACAGTTACTCCATCTTAAGGTAATAAATGAACCTTATAATGGAAAATCTCCTAATATGTCTCCCTCAATGCAGTCATCACCGCTGCTAGTCCTTAAATTATTGCTGGATATGTTGGATATTCTCACATATTTAGTAAAAGGTTCCTGAATTTTAAATTTATTTCAAACACATTCAGGGAAGATATTGCGTCATTCTATGATCCATGATAAATTGCAGGAGTTTATTACTTTTTTTGTTTCACCATAAAAATACAAAAGTGTCTTATTTTAGTCGCATGTTGTTCAATTAAAGTAACAAATATCATGTAACTGATTTGTATGGAATATTCTGTAATTGAAAGAGGTAAATATGTAAAATACATGACTTTTAGAAACTGGAAAGATTTATATTATGATGTTCTCAGGTGTTCCGATGTTTCAGCTTTTTAAAACTCGTATAGCTGATATTCATTTAATTTTTCTACGGAATCCCAAAAATATTACTTATAACTCAACCAAAACTTTTTTATTCAAACATTTTAAATTGGTTTATTTCCTATGTATTCTACCCATACTTTGGGGGAAAAAATCTCAACTTAAAGTTGTAAAGCTTATTTGTAGTTCACTCTAGTAATCAAACCACTATTATTAAAACTGGCCATCAATTCTCAATGTTTGCCTCAATTTTTCTTATATTGTTATTAACTCACACGCATGTATATGTATATATATATATATATATATATATATATATATATATATATATACATATACATGCGTGTTATATATATATATATATATATATACATATACATGCGTGTTATATATATATATATATATATATATATATATATATATATATATATATATATATATATATATATATATATATATATATATATATATATATATATATATATAAAATTAAAACGCATTTAATGCTATTTTTTACAAGAATATTCACTATCAATAGTTTAACTTTTGCCCGGTAAGAATGTCTGGGACAGCCCGCTGTGGAGTCAGTAGAGATGTGACTGTTAAACGGGCAACGCTATAACACACTCTATGCTATTAATCCTCAGATTGTTTATACAAATGAAGTATCAATATTTATATGAAAATAAAACATGTACTAATGATACTATTATCATGTTGCAGATGTAATAAGATCATCGCGCTGCTCATTTTCATCCTCATCTTCGCTGTGAACACGATCCTGGTGATAACTTATGTTGACAGTATAGATCAGACATGGCTTCTAGTCTTGCTAGCTATCTACTTCGTATTATACATCATCGTCTGCATTTACTTGATACTCCATTGCCTGGCTGCCCTCTTCAGCCCGGATAGCTGCATCAATAGGTCTAAGGTTTGTCCGTATTCTCTTTTTGTATGCCTAGAAGCCACAATGAATTATTTGAAGTATATTTTTTTATCATGTTAACATAGAATATAAAAAAGAATTATTTTAATTTAAAAAAAAAAATACCCGACAACAGAAAGCTAATCAAGCACCGTGGTTGTTAAGGGAATTGATATCTACGAATATTGTAGCATTTAGGTGCCTTCCGCCCATTTACGAAACTCAAGACTCTTATGATACGGAACCAAAAAAAATTGATAGTACTTAAATATAACACAATATTTACTTCAGAATTTATAGTTCTCATAGTTTAATAGCATTCATGAGATCTTTGTGAAATCAAACTTAAAAATCCGTTGAATCGTTGTCTCAATAAGTCGTTACATACCTTTTAGCGGATTGATTATATCACGTTTTATACAATCATCGGTATGTGGCATTAGCTCAAATTCTTTCAAAATACTCACGGCATCTCACCGGACAATTTGAGCCATCATGCTTAAACTTCGGTACAACCGTTCGCTAAAAAATATGTTGTATACCTTATAGCGGATTTATTAAATCGCATTTTATACAATAATCGGTTCATTGCATGAGCTCAAATACTTTCAAAATATTCAAAGTAATATAATAATGATAATAGTTATAATAATAATAATAATACGGTAAAATTCGGTAGAGCCGTTAGATCAAAAAATCATTGCTTACTTTTTAGCAAGAAACTGTTTTTTTTTTTTTGAGCTTTCGTATGAATTGACCGGACACATGGGTGAACCGGACCTCCCGTGAATATCACTATAATTACTGTCCACGTGACAGATTGTTATATTTCTAAATAAAAAAAAAAAATACTTTTTAGCAGACGACCCAAACACATAACCCTCGTGTGGCCCATCTTTGTTGAGTAACAATATCCTAATTTGTGTCATTAGGAACGTTAGTTAATATAATATATTTTTATCTAAACCTCAAATACACTGTATATATATATTAGTAACAAAATAATCAAGAGACAGAACACGACTGTTAGGTTATTATTTGAAAAATTCCAACTACATAAAATTCCAACTACTTATGTCTCCAAAATGCAGGCAAAGAAAAACTTATCAATGTTTCGCCAATTTAAGTATCATCAAGACAGAAAAACAGCTAATCACTCCATCAAATCCAAATGAATATTCTAATAAGTATTAGCTGTTTTTCTAGTTTGATGATGCATGAATTGGCGAAACATTGACGGGTTTTTCTTTACTTGCATTTTGGAGACATAAGGCTGTGTGTAAATAAATACTTACTTCATAATTAATATGGACAGATAGTTGATAATACAGATAGTACATCTCACTTTAATAGACTACTATAGAGTGAACCAATAGATATTCTGCATCACTCGTACATTGTTAATTCTATTCTTTTCAGTTATACACTTATATTCGTTAACAATTGTAGAATGGTATTTTAAATTATATTTTCTATACTAATTATAGATAATAGAAATTTCTGAGGTATTTTTTTTTTGTTGGTAATAATGTTAGGAATAGCAAATATAATGAAATAGAAAGATAAAAGCTAATTTGTGTAAAGTAATTTTAAGTTGCTGTGTTTACCAGGAAAAATAACTTAAGCTATTACTTGTCAAACTATGATTATGCAATTTTTTTTAAACCAATTTTATTAACGTAAACAATTTAAAAGTACGGCCAGGGCCATCGCGTGGGTAGGGCGATCCGTGAGAGGGGCTAGGGGAGGGGGAGCCCTATGGCGCTGTGGGCGAAGGGGCCCCACAACAAATATATAAAGAATTTCAAAAAATCTTATTTCTATCCGCTTTCTTCCTTTTTATTCATTTCTTTTCATCTTTGCTTTGGTCTTCAAGAACGACTAGCAGAATAATTATTTCAAACCTCAGATTCAATTGCGGTTATTAGATAAATTAGAACAAGCAGAATAGATATTTGTTGTTCCTAAATGGAAGTAGATGATAAAATAAACTACTGGTCGTGTTAGAGGGGGGCACCTGATAAAATTTTGTGTAGGGTGCCAAACACTTCCTCGACACCTCTGAGTACGGCTCTAGAGTACCGATATCAAGAAAAAAAAAAAAGCTTTACCCCTACAACCTACGAAGAGTCTTGTGTTCAGTACTACTTAGGGAAAGTAGTTATAGGTCAACGGTTGTGCAAATAGGTAGCAATTAATTATTTAATTAAGGGCACCCACTTAATAGAGGCTGGATGTGCCCTAGGAGGTCTCCTGGGAGGATTACAAAATCGAAGCGTATTACAAAATTCAAGCAAACACAAAAGGTTAAATTAAAACTTGCTATTATAAAAAAATAATATAAAAAGAAATAAACCTGTACCACTACAACCCATGAAGGGTCTTGGGTTCAGTTCTACTTAGGAAAAGCACTGTTTATTGGTCTACGGTTGTACAAAGAGGTGATTTGACCGAGATCAAGCTCAACCACCAGGTTTTTCCCCTTAATTAATTATTTTAATTAAGCCATTTTATAGAGGCTGGTTGTGTCCCAGGAGGATCTATGTAAATACCCAGGGTTACTCCATGGCCAACGTAACAGAAAAATAAATTTTCTGCCATGAGCCGGGATTCGAATCTGGGACCTTAAGCATTGGAAGCTCAATACCCTACCACTGAGCTACCCCACTCCCACCGACATTTAGAAAAGTTATAATTTATTTTATCCAGTAAATTATAACTTAAATTATAAGTAAATTATAAGTAAAAAAAAAAAAAAAAAAAAAAAAAAAAAAAAAAAAAAAAAAAAACTTCAACACCTAAAAATAACCAGTATACGATTTAAGAAGAAGGGGATATGCTAATCACTGAAAAATTCTTCAGGTTTGACGAGGGAATATTTTATTGAACAAATTTCAAGTTGTGATATGAAATGTGGTTATTAAATAACGAGACTGATGCTATAGAGCATTTTATTTTGATTTCACACATATTTAATTTGTATTGCCTTGGATAGAAACCCGATATAAACTACTCTATCCCAAACAACGTTCTATGCGAATCATTCCTTGTCTGAAATAGTACTGAATGTCTTCGTCTGTCAGCTCTTTTCGGGGGTGTTCTGCTTTCTTTTTAAGGAAAAGTAATGTTGATTAATAGTTTGACCTTCAGGAAATCTGTGAAGGTGCGAAACCCCATGAATATCGAGAAGAAAAATCATCATTGGTTTGATTTTCATATTCCCATCCGACCTGTTTTGTACGGAGAAAGTTGGACTCTTGCAGCACTCCGTTTTAGGAGATTATTAAAAAACCACGATTCGTTAATCTGCATTTAAAGGAACAAGATTTAAGTCCGTTGAAGTTGTGAAAGAGAAAGAGCACGAGGTCTGAAGAAGCTAACAGAAGAAGACTTCCGGCACCGTTTAAGACTATAAAAGATTTGCATGGAGCGTTGTAAGGATAGGGGAGGGGTGTATATTGAAGGTGATGATATATAAATATATTAAATCAAAATAAAATGTTTTACAGCATCAGTCTCGTTATTTTATAGCCATACCTCGTATGTTCGTTTTTTAATTTTTTAATTTTTTTTTTTGGCCCAAAACTTTTTACTTCCACTTACGTATATATGTAATATATAGTAAGGGTAAGTATTGCGATCGAGAAAATTTTTGAATCTGAGTTTTCAACGGAAATACACTTTTTGAGGTACCCTGGGTCGAAATGACCAAGTCCCGAAAAATGGTCTGTGTGTCTGTGTGTTTGTATGTTAGCTGTCTTGCTCAAAAACGAAATGTCCTACGAAATTTATATTACGTATTTAAGATAGGTATATGCCTTAAATGTGACGGCATTTTTTTCCTTAAAATCGGCTAACCGGAAGTGCCACTTTATATCAACGCTGAAACACATTTTCACAACTTTCTCAAAAACGGCTCTAACGATTTTGATTAAACTCGGTGTATCATTGTGTAATTATGTGGTCTTTATCACGTGGCAATATCAATTAGGTCTTATCTCCATTGATGTCATTTTACAGGGCTTAAATGCCCAATGTTCATATACGTCTTCCTCTGAAGTACCTTTAATATGGTTTATTTTAAAAAGTTATTCATTTCACATTATTCAAAGTTACGAAAAAATGCTAAATATAACTTTTGAAAGAATTTGATAAGTTAATAGAGGAGAAAAAAAAATGCAGAAAAACCTGCGTTGCTATAGACTGTAGCGCCTAAACGAATGTACCGATTTCAATGAAACTTCACTAAAGTCATTTTCTCGACACCCTTTAAATTTATCTATATAACATACTTCAACGAAAAGAAGCTGGAAAAAAAGTTACGAGGGATGGTAAAATTAAATTCCGATTAATTTTTTTAAAATAGAAATTAAATAATGTAAATTAAATAAATAGTGATTGTTTAAATATTTACCTTGATCCTTAAAACTTACAAAATTAGTTAACAGTAATTTTCGTAATAATTTGGAAAAAAGCAATATTAGTAGATACAATATAAGATTTCAAAGTAAACCGTCTCCTGAGGATTAGCTAAAAACATGGACGATCATTAGGATTCGAGAGCCAGTCCTATAATTCATCGGTCGGGGAATCGTAAATTTGCAACATGTTTGGACTGTCCATTGGTCTCTCGTGTTTTTGTTATATATCTCACCGTAGGTTTCGTTCAATTTGCATTAGATCCTGGCAATTCGAGGGAATTGGAAATAGAAAGGATAAAGCCCTCAAATTGAATCATTTCTAGTCTCTTTTCAGAAATATATGGTTGTTTCTAGATAGTAATTCTTAGAAATTGTTTGCTTGAGAAAATATCTAGACTTACTTCTGTAACAACGCGACGTCAAAAATCTGACTTATTTCTTAATTTTTATTTTACTTCTCGGAGGTCTGGGGACATTTTCGGCATAGTCAAATGTTAGTGAATAGCGAGACAAAAAGTTCCGATTTTTAAACAACCTCTAATATTATTTAGAAGATGTCGTGGCTGGACTCGGAGATCTCTTGCC